AACTACTTAGCATGTTAGTTAACCCTAACCTTAACTCCTAAACTTAACCTCTAACCCTAGCCACCTAGCTAATGTTAGCCACAACAAATTGGAATTCATAACATATCATATGTTTAGCAAATTCATAACATATTGTACGAATTGCAATTCGTAACATGTTGAATGAATTGTAATTCATAACATATCATGCGAAATGGATGATGAACATCCATAAATGAATACATACCATACGAAACTTACCATATCATACTAATTGGAGTGTCCCGGATTTACATTTACTATGTTACGTCTACCCCTGAGTCCAGGTTGGACATCAATGCATAAATAGGATTCAACCCGATGTTATGAAAAGCATGGCTTCACAAAAGCAGATCTAATTTACATTTTAGTCATTTAGCAGAAGCTCTTATCCAGAGCGACTTACAGTTAGTGAGTGCATACATTGTCATACTGGTCCCCCGTGGGACATTGTTCTAATGAGACAATGACAGATGATTGGTACCTGTTTTGGACCAGAAGTTGTTTTGAAGATGGGGAGAGGTACAGTGCATTCGGAAGGTATTCAGAACCCATTCCCATTTTCCACATTTTGTTATGTTACAGCCTTATTCTAAAATTGATGAGTTATAAAAATAGAAAAAATACAATCTACACAGAATACCCCATAATGACAAAGCGAAAACAGGTTTTTAGAAATTGTTGCAAATGTATTAAAAATAAAAACAGAAATACCTTATTTACATAACTATTCAGACCCTTTGCTATGAGACTCGAAATTGAGCTCAGGTGCATCTTGTTTCCATTGATCATCCTTGAGATGTTTCTACAACTTGATTGGAGTCCACCTGTGGTAAAGTCAATTGACTGGACATGATTTGGAAAGGCACACACATGTCTATATAAGGTCCCACAGTTGACAGTGCATGTCAGAGCAAAAACCAAGCCATGAGGTCGAAGGAATTGTCGGTAGAGCGCCGATACAGGATTTGTATTTGTATTTATTATGGATCCTCATGCAGCAGCTACTCTTCCTGGGGTCCAGCAAAATTAAGCCAGTTATACATTTAAAAAAAAAACATTACAATACATTCATAACAGATTTCACAGCACACTAAGTGTGTGCCCTCAGACCCCTACTCCACTACCACATATCTACAACACAAAATCCATGTGTACGTTTGTGTATAGAGCGTATGTTATCGTGTGTGTATGCATGTGTCTGTGCCTATGTTTGTGTTGCTTCACAATCCCCGCTGTTCCATAAGGTGTATTTTTATCTGTTTTTTTAAATCTGATTCTACTGCTTGCATCAGTTACCTGATGTGGAATAGAGTTCCATGTAGTCATGGCTCTATGTAGTACTGTGCGCGTCCCATAGTCTGTTCTGGACTTGGGGACTGTGAAGAGACCTCTGGTGGCATGGATTGTGTCGAGGCACAGATCTGGGGAAGGGTACCGAAACATTTCTGCAGCATTGAAGGTCCCCAAGAACACAGTGGCCTCCATCATTCTTAAATGGAATAAGTTTGGAACCACCAAGACTCTTCCTAGAGCTGGCCGCCCGGCCAAACTGAGCAATCAGGGGAGAAGGGTCTTGGTCAGGGAGGTGACCAAGAACCTGATGGTCACTCTGAAGGAGCTCCAGAGTTCCTCTGTGGAGATGGGAGAACCTTTCAGAAGGACACCGTCTCTGCAGCACTCCACCAATCAGGCCTTTATGGTAGAGTGGCCAGACGGAAGCCACTCCTCAGTAAAAGGCACATGACTGCCCGCTTTGAGTTTGCCAAAAGGCACCTAAAGGACTCTCAGACCATGAGAAACAAGATTCTCTGGTCTGATGAAACCAAGATTGAACTCTTTGGCCTGAATGCCAAGCGTCACGTCTGGAGGAAACCTGGCACCATCCCTACGGTGAAGAATGGTGGTGACAGCATCATGCTGTGGGGATGATTTTCAGCGGCAGGGTACTGGGAGACTAGTCAGGATCGAGGGAAAGATGAACAGAGCAAAGTACAGAGAGATCCTTGACGAAAACCTTCTCCAGAGCACTCAGGACCTCAGACTGACACGACAATGACCCTAAGCACACAGCCAAGACAATGCAGGAGTGGCTTCCGGACAAGTGTCTGAATGTCCTTGAGTGGCCCAGCCAGAGCCCGGACTTCAACCCGCTCGAACATCTCTGGAGAGACCTGAAAATAGCTGTGCAGTGACACTCCCCATCCATCCTGACAGAGCTTGAGAGGATCTGCAGAGAAGAATGGGAGAAACTCCCCAAATACAGGTGTGCCAAGCTTGTAGCGTCATACCCAAGAAGACGCAAGGCTGTAATTGCTGTCAAATGTGCTTCAACAAAGTACTGTGTAAAGGGTCTGAAGACTTATGTAATGTTTCTTTTTTTTTCTCCAATAAATTAGCAAAGATCTCAAAAAACCTGTTTTTGCTTTGTCATTATGGGGTATTGTGTGTAGGTTGATCACGAAAAAAAACAATTGAATCCATTTTAGAATAAGGCTGTAACGTAACAAAATGTTGAAAAAGTAAAGGGGTCTGAATACTTTCTGAATGCACTGTATGTCTGTTATAAAAAGGTTCTGCGTTTTTTGACACACAGATCAACTGTACTAGTTGTTCAGGCTTTGATCTTGTCCCATCTTGATTACTGTCCGGTAATATGGTCAGGTACAGCAAAGAATGACCTAGCAAAGCTGCAGTTGGCTCAAAACAAAGCAGCACGCCTTGCCCTTAACTGTACACACATAACTAAAATCAACACCATACAGTACATGATAGTCTTTCATGGTTGAGGACAAATGTATTACTTCTCTTCGTCTTTTAAAAAAACATTTGTGTGTTGAAAATGCCTAACCACTTGTATATCTATTTGCATACACTTCAAACAGACATACATACCACACCAGACACGTCACTATGGGTTTCTTCATTGTACAGATTTAATGCGTCACTCAGTTATCTATAGAGCCATGTCATCGTGAAATGCTCAGCCACCAGAGGTTACTCAGGTAAAAAGTAAGTTTAGCTTTAAAAAACATATTGCATCACAGCGCCTCTACTCTTTCTAAAGAAAATCTCATTTAACTGTACTGTATTTATGAATATGCATGTAAATAGTATTGTTGTTGTCTCTTGGTGTCTTTCCTATATTTCATTATATATCATTTTTTATTTAGTGTAATATCTTATGTTGTTCTTGTCTATAACTGTTCTCACTTTGTCATGTATTTGTAGGTTTTATGTGGACCCCAGGAACAGTAGCTGCTGCATGTGCAGTAGCTAATGGGGATCTTAATAAACTAAACTAAACCTTTGACCTAGGCCAATCACATTCTGTCAGTTTGAGACTGGAACTCTTAACATTGGAACGCTGCTTTACTAGATATTAAGGGCAGTGCTAATTCATACAGGGAACCCGAGTATTGGCTTCTGCGATGCATTAGCTGATGCATCAACTGACGTCGCATCAATAATATTCTACAAACACTTCCTACCTTAATATGGTGGTCTATTTGCAGTGAGGGAAAAAAGTATTTGATCCCCTGCTGATTTTGTATGTTTGCCCACTGACAAAGAAATGATCAGTCTATAATTTTAATGGTAGGTTTATTTGAACAGTGAGAGACAGAATAACAACAAAAACATCCAGAAAAACACATGTCAAAAATGTTATAAATTGATTTGCATTTTAATGAGGGAAATAAGTATTTGACCCCCTCTCAATCAGAAAGATTTCTGGCTCCCAGGTGTCTTTTATACAGGTAATGAGCTGAGATTAGGAGAACACTCTTAAAGGGAGTGCTCCTAATCTCAGTTTGTTACCTGTATAAAAGACACCTGTCCACAGAAGCAATCAATCAATCAGATTCCAAACTCTCCACCATGGCCAAGACCAAAGAGCTCTCCAAGGATGTCAGGGACAAGATTGTAGACCTACACAAGGCTGGAATGGGCTACAAGACCATCGCCAAGCATCTTGGTGAGAAGGTGACAACAGTTGGTGCGATTATTCGCAAATGGAAGAAACACAAAAGAACTGTCAATCTCCCTCGGCCTGGGGCTCCATGCAAGATCTCACCTCGTGGAGTTGATGATCATGAGAATGGTGAGGAATCAGCCCAGAACTACGCGGGAGGATCTTGTCAATGATCTCAAGGCAGCTGGGACCATAGTCACCAAGAAAACAATTGGTAACACACTATGCCGTGAAGGACTGAAATCCTGCAGCGCCCGCAAGGTCCCCCTGCTCAAGAAAGCACATATACAGGCCCGTCTAAAGTTTGCCAATGAACATCTGAATGATTCAGAGGAGAACTGGGTGAAAGTGTTGTGGTCAGATGAGACCAAAATCGAGCTCTTTGGCATCAACTCAACTCGCCGTGTTTGCAGGAGGAGGAATGCTGCCTATGACCCCAAGAACACCATCCCCACCGTCAAACATGGAGGTGGAAACATTATGCTTTGGGGGTGTTTTTCTGCTAAGGGGACAGGACAACTTCACCGCATCAAAGGGACGATGGACGGGGCCATGTACCGTCAAATCTTGGGTGAGAACCTCCTTCCCTCAGCCAGGGCATTGTGGATGGGTATTCCAGCATGACAATGACCCAAAACACACGGCCAAGGCAACAAAGGAGTGGATCAAGAAGAAGCACATTAAGGTCCTGGAGTGGCCTAGCCTGTCTCCAGACCTTAATCTCATAGAAAATCTGTGGAGGGAGCTGAAGGTTTGAGTTGCCAAACGTCAGCCTCGAAACCTTAATGACTTGGAGAAGAATGCCAAGACTAACGTATTACATGTTGTAATCTTTTTCTAATAAATGGGTAAACGTATACGTGGCATTTCCTGTTTTGAAATTGCTTTACCAAAAATGTTCCTTCTTCCAATAAGAGAGGGACTCTTACTGGCCATAGCCGGCACCCAAGCGAACAGCGTGTCTGTGTCCAGTCAGGATTTGTTTAGACAGAGTTTGCCTCTGGGCCGAATGGACTCTCGCTCTAAGAATAACCCCATTGTAGTGAGACTGAGAGAGTGAGTCTCACTGCCAAGTGAGTCCGTGTTAAAGCAGACCTTAACAGCCAGACGAGATTGTGTCTTTCCTTTGAAAATGATACTAGATCCACACAAATAAGACTTTAGCAGATGCTCTTATACAGTGTGATTTATGATTGTTACCAAGTGCATACTGAACATACTGTGGATGAAGCCATGTCTGGTGGAAACATAGTGAGAGTCAAACTGTAGAACGCATTGGATGAAATTATCTATCTTGGGAGTCTTTTTCTGTAGGTGTTGTCATAACAGGGCGTTAATAGTGCCTCTTTTTCCTGCATCAGTGTGGCTGAGGAGGAGGTGAAGACTGAGTCGGATGCAGTAGAGGGGATGGAGATCTCTACACGATCTAAAGGTGAGAAAAAAACACTGAAAGCTGAGCTATACTATTACCTATGATTGCCTATGCCTGCGGGGAGGATGTGGTGGTGGTGAAAGTGTTTATTTTATTGCTCCCATGTTGAGTGTACTGTATGTGTGCATGCATGTGTGTGTCTGGTACAGAGCTGAACGACACAAGGTACAAGCCGGAGGCTAATGTGCCGCTTCTGTTCATATCGCTGTCATGTCTTATTGCTATGGCAACTGGTTTTATCTGCTGTACTGTATGAAAAACAATGAACATCTACTGAACTATGGCCAGTACATGCACCTTCTTCTTGGAAATATTGCATCTGTCATGTTGGCTTGTCTGACCTTTGACCCCCTCCCTGCAGTTTCAGACCCTGGGTCAGTGGAGAGGGCAGCCCAGAAACGAAAAGTGCCTAGCCCCCCTCACTCATCCAACGGTCACTCCCCTGCTGAGACCTCCTCCAGCCCGGTCAAAAAGAAGAAGAAACCAGGAGCAGTCAGTAGCAGTAAAGACCAGGTGCACCCTCCCCCTCCACTCTTCTCCCTGCTCCTCAGTGCTCACACAGTTGGGCTTTCAGAGGCTGCTGGGTTTCTGTTACACTGCAATATATCCTACTAAAAAAACTATAACTTTGGGTTCCAATTGAGTCTTTTGGTATGCCATGGGACTATTTGATGTTTGTGAGACCAAGGGTTTATATTTTCTTATAGTGTTACAGTACGTTTATATGTCCTAATACTATGTAATACGATTGTTATCTAAATGATTATTGTTTCATTAATGTGTGTTTGCATGCTTAATTTTGCCTACTGAAATCAAGTAATTGATGATGCTTAGGTCATTGCTTACTCACACTGAGACTATTAATGTTTAGTACTTTTATCAGCTTTATAAATGGTCAATTATAATACCAACATGGGCTTATAAGCCATGGATCAAAGCTTGTCTCAATGCAAAACAGTAATGGGTGTGCACCAAAACACAGTTTTTCAGATTCAATCATTAAGCGATTCTAAAGGCTATTTTCTCAAACTGATCCTTTTTACTGTCTTGACCTTTGAAAAGGGATTAGTAATATAATCTACAGTGATTTTCTTCAAGTTTGATAACAGAAATGATCAATTAATCAATTTTTTTATGCCTTATGTTGCAACACAGGGTTCTAAGCAGTCTGTGTTTTGGACCGTTACTATGTAACTTCTTGTAGATTTTTTGCATGTCCTGCTGCTCATGTAATCTCACGCCTAAATTAAATTTTGAACCCCTCCAACTTTCTCCTTTTCTTGCCTGCATTTCAGTCAGAACTAAGACATGGTCCCTTTTACTATGTGAAGCAGCCAGCACTCACCACAGACCCTGTTGATGTTGTACCGCAGGACGGCAGGAATGACTTTTACTGCTGGCTGTGCCACCGCGAGGGCCAGGTGCTCTGCTGTGAGCTCTGCCCGAGGGTGTACCACGCCAAGTGCCTCAAACTGCCCGCAGAGCCCGAGGGTGACTGGTTCTGCCCTGAGTGTGAGGTACTCGCTTGTGGGTGGGACTGGAAACCAGTTGTCTACTAGGAAGACAACTTTTAAATGCATGGGAGGTTTTAGGCTGGGGGTTGAGGCCTGACTATGATGATAGACATCCCTGTTTTATGGAAGTCTGATCATGTTGGTATACGATGTTGTCAAGGTAGTAAAATTAGACTTGATACTGGGTATATCCTTTTCAGATGGCAATATACCTTTTGAAGCTAACATCTTGCTCTCTACCTCTTTTCTTTCAGAAAATAACAGTTGCTGAGTGCATAGAGACTCAGAGTAAAGCAATGACGATGCTAACGCTAGACCAGTTGTCTTACTTGCTAAAGTTTGCACTCCAGAAGATGAAACAGCCAGGTGTAAGTGCACTGACCTCCCTCCTCTACCTGACTGATCAGTCCTAGTAACACTATAAACAAATGTCAGGTCTGGGGGAAATCAACTCTATATAGAGTGCATATTGCAATGGCTTGTGCTTCTGCTTTCACCCTCCCCACATTGTCATGGAAGCACTATACTTATTTCTACCTTTTCTAACTGTTGTCATTGACTAATTGTTTTGACAGTAGCTATTGAACTGTTGAAGAATAGAGATATAAGTATTAGTAATTCCAATGTGAGTGAACAGAACTCTCACACAAACACAATGGAATGGTATTGTGCTTGTTGATATGGTCTGATTCTAAGACTGCTTAATGCTTTCTCATGGTTTCATTTTCCATCAGTGATGATGTACATTGCCCCTGCCCTAATACACGGTGAACTGCACCCTACCAAATGATTTACTATACTCAGAGTCTCAAGTATCTTTTGGTGTTCTGGTTACAAAGTGGTTACCTATGTCATAAGTAAGGAAGCTCTCTAACAACACTAAACCACCCCAAGCCTGTTTTAGCCAGTCTTCTCCTCTACAATGGCATAAAGAGGGAAGGGACCATTGAACCAAGGGTCCAGTTTGTAAAGCGGTGGTGTGGTAAGGATACAGCTGCCCCTCTTACTCTTTTTCAGGACCAACCACGCTCGTCATCTCACTCCCCCCATGCAGCCGCCACGCAGAGAAAGGCTTTTAATTGGGTAATCAATCAAACACACTAAAAAAAGACCCCATCATATTTTCCCTTAGTTTTTTTCCCTCCTGTTTGGAGTGTTCTTTTTGTTTTGTGTGTCTGTTTTTAGTTGCTGTTGTCTGTCCTGGGGTGGTAGAATGTGGGTGGCAGAGTGTGTGTGTTGTGGAGGTCATGCAGTTGAATCCTAAATTGAGATGCATGCAAGGCAAGCAATTTAAATCTTGACCTAAATTTTGAATTGATGCCTATTTTATATATTTACATGAAAGTTGTAGCTGTGCATGTGTCTCAAGTTAGGATTTGGCCTAAATGAGGCCTGTATTTGGAATATGAAGGTTAATTCACTGTGCACGTCTCTTTTGTATCTTCTCCAGACGGAACCCTTCCAGAAACCAGTATCTCTTGAACAGCATCCGGACTACACAGAGTATATTTTTCATGCCATGGACCTCTGTACATTAGAGAAGGTTAATGTTCTGTGCTTATTTCTTTGGGGTTAGAACTACAATCCCAAACCTCACCAGTTGTTGATCACTGACCTTTTCTATTTTATTTTTCCAGAATACAAAAAAGAAAATGTATGGCTGTACCGAAGCTTTCTTGGCAGATGTGAAATGGATTTTACACAACTGCATAATTTATAATGGAGGTCAGTGTACGTGTTTAGATTGCAATGGATTTTCACTGGTTTCAATAACTGGTTTGTAATTATTTATAATGGTGACCTTCTTATTCCAGGCAATCATAAGCTCACTGCCACAGCTAAAGTCATAGTGAAAATCTGTGAACATGAGGTGAGTATGGGAAGGCGGTCAATGATTCTTTTAGGCCTTCAGAAGAAACTCTTGTTACACCTACAATGATTCTCCTCTTTCAGATGAATGAGATTGAGGTCTGTCCGGAATGCTATCTGTCAGCTTGCCAAAAGAGAGACAACTGGTTCTGTGAGCCATGTGTGAGTTCAGTTACTTAAACTCTCTTATTACTTGTATCAAAGCTTGTGCTAAACGAGTCATACATTTCAATTGTAGTGCCTTGTGTATATTGAATGCTGTCTATATAATGGTCTCAGTATTATAACTAGCCTTCCTGTTTACTTTGCTCAGAGTGATCCTCACCCTCTGGTGTGGGCCAAGCTGAAGGGGTTTCCATTCTGGCCTGCCAAAGCATTGCGGGACAAAGACGGGCAGGTGGATGCTCGCTTCTTCGGGCAACACGACAGGTAATTCCCCTTTGGTATCTAGCTATGTCACTTATACTCATCAGTACATTTGCATTTCTCTATCCTCTGTCACTATCCTCTGTCTCTATCCTCTGTCTCTATCCTCTGTCTCTATCCTCTGTCTCTATCCTCCGTCTCTATCCTCCGTCTCTATCCTCCGTCTCTATCCTCTGTCTCTATCGACTGTCTCTATCGACTGTCTCTATCCTCTGTCTCTATCCTCTGTCTCTATCCTCTGTCTCTATCCTCTGTCTCTATCCTCTGTCTCTATCGACTGTCTCTATCCTCTGTCTCTATCCTCCGTCTCTATCCTCCGTCTCTATCCTCTGTCTCTATCCTCTGTCTCTATCCTCTGTCTCTATCCAGCTGTTGAGTTGTATTATGTTTCTTCACCTTCCAGGGCGTGGGTCCCCTTAAACAACTGCTACCTCATGTCCAGGGAGATTCCCTTCTCTGTGAAGAAGACTAAGAGCATATTCAACAGCGCCATGCAGGAGATGGAGGTCTACGTGGAGAACATGAGGAGGAAGTTTGGAGTGTTCACGTACGCCCCCTTCAGGACACCATATACCCCTGACAACCAGTACCAGATGCTGCTGGACCCCGCCAACCCCTCGTCCGGCTCGGTCCGGCCGGAGAAGCAGGAAAAGATAAAGTTCAACTTCGACATGACTGCATCTCCCAAGATGCCCTTAGCCAGGAGCATGCTGTCAGGAGGGGGCGGAGGCATGGGCGGGGTTGGAGGGAGTACAGGCCCGAGGATCTCCCTGACAGATATGCCCCGCTCGCCCATGAGCACTAACTCGTCTGGTCACACAGGTTCTGATGGAGAGCAGGACACACCAGACAAGGGCCAGGCTAGAGCCCCAGCTAGCCACTATAGTGCTGGGGAGGAGTCCATGGACTGCACAGGTAGGTACTGCAAACTGCCTATCTGACAGTCTGGAGAGTCCAGGGACTATGGAATATACTGTAACAGCAACCTAGACTCTGGTTTTCGTTTGAAATCAAGCACTGTAAACACAGGGCATGTTGATTTCTTCTTCAATGCACAATTGCCATAAGTTATTTTAATAAAACCTACCTCTTAAATGAAGATCCAAAGAAGAGCATGACGTTGATAGAAACTGTATATCTGAACTCTCTCCACAGAATCACCTGCTTCCACTCGACCTGATCCTGCCTCTGGTGCCAAGGACAGCCCTAAACCGTTCCACTCCCAGGGCCCTGCCCTGACTCTCGTTCCCAAGCAGGAGAAAGCAACACCCACAGGGAGCATCCTCAATCTCAACCTGGGTGAGCTGCCACACACCTGTTACCAAACCTCAATCATCATCAAAGTTAATCTATTTAGCACACCTGACCTGGGTAAGGCTTCATGACAGCAAACCAATATCCATAAACCCTTGAAACCAAGTAAGCAGGCCTACTTGATGGTCTAGTGATTGTAGCTGATTTCAACCAGCTCATAACATTGTTTGTGGTTTCTTGTGCTGGCCTGTCAGACCGAAGCAAAGCCGAGATGGACCTAAAGGAGTTGAGTGAGACTGTACAACAGCAGCAACAGCAGGGGGCGCCACCAGTCCTCACCTTGCCCAAAAGACAGATCAGGAGCCGCTTCCAGCTCAACCTGGACAAAACCATCAAGAGCTGCAAGGCCCAGCTGGGTGAGTGACTTAACCGCACCGCTAGAAAATAACCATTTATCAAGATACCAGGACCATTCGACTACTTTTTTTTTCATTTGTATGAAAACAACCATGCAAACCACTGCTGAAACCTTTGATCTTATACATTTACCCCAATTTCCCCACTGCTGCGTACAGGTATAGATGAGATCTCTGAGGACGTGTATAAGGGAGTGGAACACAGCGACTCCGAGGACTCTGATAAATCAGATTCGAGTGACAGTGAGTACGCCAGCGACGAGGAACAGAAACCTAAAGTGGGCCAGCACACTGAGCCCAATGACAAGGGCGAGAAGGACCCTTCCAAGAGGGGGTCCAAAGACCCCCTGCCCCCCAGCCAAAACAAGGAGGGCAAAACGGAGGGTCCAGGGCCAGCGACTGCCACGGCAACCATGGGAGATGCAGGGGTACAATCTACCCTCTCTGAATCCTCGTCGAAAGAGAAGCAGGGTGTAGATTCAGACAAAGAGCCCCCAGAGAAAGCCAAAGCAGCCCCATTGTCCCCGGCCCCCAGAGAGAAGCCCCAGGTGAAGCAGGAGGCCAGGCAGCCCTCTCTGGTGGACGACTCAGACTCTGAGAGGGAGCTGGTGATTGACCTGGGGGAGGACCAGGGGGGCAGAGACCGGAAGAGGACTAGGAAAGACGCACACTCCACCAAAGATCCACCAACCAATAAGACAGAGGGTGAGACTCCTCCTATTCTCTACCACTATTTGAAAAAAGAATAGTTGCTGTTACTAATTAATTGTTTCTTTCCATTGTAGGGAAAGCCCCCACACCGTCAAGTACCCTTACTCCATCTCAAAACAACACAACCCCTTCCTTAACCCCCAGTATGAAAGATTCATCACAGTCTCCACTAGCCATCCCTCCAAATATGGTGCCCTTCACTACTACTGCTCCCACCACCATTGGCCCCACCACCCTGCCCAGTGCCACATCATCAACAGCCCCCATCACAGCCTCCTCCGCCACCACAGCAGTGAAGAAACAGCGCCCTCTGCTGCCCAGGGAGACTGTCCCGGTGGTGCAGCGGGCGGTGGTGTGGAACCCCACCAACAAGTTCCAGACGTCCTCCCAGAAGTGGCACATGCAGAAGGTGCAGCGGCAGCAGCAGAATCCGCAGCCAGATACGCCTCAGCTGCAGGCAGCATCACCTGGCCAGCCAAAGACACAAACATTGCCCCAAACGCCGACATCTGCAACATCTTCATCATCATTATCGCCACAGCAACCTTCCCAAAGCACGCGGTACCAGACCAGGCAATCTGTCAAAGGTACACCACAGTATTAATTGATAATAATATTAGCACACTACAGAGAAAGTGGAAGACAGCTAAAAAACTATTTGAGTGCAACCGTAGGCCTAAAACCATGACTGTGATGTCACTGATTAGTTTTGATTGTTGTTGTTTACTCTAGCTGTCCAGCAGAAAGACCCCCCACTCAGTACGTCCACGTCGGCTCTTACCCTGGTGACCAGTACCCCAGCCTCTGTGGCCATGATGGCAGCCCCCGGAGTAGGCAGTGGCCCCTCTACCTCCATGGCAGGGGACTTCCAGATCCCCACCGCATCAGCAGACGTAGCAGCTGACATCGCCAAGTACACTAATAAAGTGAGTATACAAGGCTTGTATACTGAAGGATGTACACTACACTATCAGTATATTATGATGGTTTGGGGCTTGGAGCAGGGCTTAATGAAGCATACACTCTTTTGGGGGACAATTTTACATGCACTACATGACCAAAAGTATGTGGACACCTGCTCGTCAAAGATCTCATTCCAAAATCACGGGCATTAATATGGAGTTGGTCCCCCTTTTGCTGCTATAACAGTCTCCACTCTTCTGGGAAGGTTTTCCACTAGATGTTAGAAACATTGCTCCTGGGACTTGCTTCCATTCAGCCACAAGAGCATTAGTGAGGTTGGGCACTGATGTTGGGCGATTAGGCCTAGCTCGCAGTCGGCATTCCAATTCATCCCAAAGGTGTTCGATGGGGTTGAGGTCAGGGCTCTGTGCAGGCCAGTCAAGTTCTTCCACACCGATCTCAACAAACCATTTCTGTATGGACCTCGCTTTGTGCACGGGGGCATTGTCATGCTGAAACAGGAAAGGGCCTTCCCCAAACTGTTGCCACAAAGTTGGAAGCACAGAATCGTCTAGAATGTCATTGTAAGCTGTAGTGTTAAGATTTCCCTTCACTGGAACTAAGGGGCCTAGCCCGAACCATATAAAACAGCCCCAGACCATTATTCCTCCTCCACCAAACTTTACAGTTGGCACGATGCATTGGGGCAGGTAGCGTTCTCCTGGCATCCGCCAAACCCAGATTCGTCCGTCGGACTGCCAGAAAGTGAAGCGTGATTCATCACTCCAGAGAACGCGTTTCCACTGCTCCAATGAGTCCAATGGCGGTGAGCTTAACACCTCTGCAGCTGACGCTTTGCATTGCGCATGGTGATATTAGGCTTGTGTGCAGCAAATCAGCCATGGAAACTAATTTCATGATGCTCCCGACGAACAGTTCTTGTGCTGACGTTGCTTCTAGAGGCAGTTTGGAACTTGGTGAGAGTTGCAACCGAGGACAGACGATTTTTATGCGCTACACGCTTCAGCACTCGGCGGTCCCGTTCTGTGAGCTTGTGTGGCCTACCACTTCGCGGCTGAGCCGATGTTGCTCCTAGACTTTTCAACTTCACAATAACAGTGCTTACAGTTGGACCGGGGCAGCTCTAGCAGGGCAAAAATTTGACGAACTGACTTGTTGGAACGGTGCCATGTTGAAAGTCACTGAGCTCTTCAGTAAGGCCAATCTACTGCCAGTGTTTGTCTATGGAGATTGTATGGCTGTGTGCTCGATTTTATACACCTGTCAGCAACGGGTGTGGGTGAAATAGCCGAATCCACTAATTTGAAGGGCTGTCCACATACTTTTGTATATGTACTGTATGTGTAGATAAAGATTCTCAACCAATCAAATATTTTTAATTTGCCATCTTTATTATTTAATGAAGTTATGACTAGTCTCCTTTTTCCTCAGATAGTGGATGCAATCAAAGGGACGATGACTGAGCTGTACACCGACCTTTCCAAAACCACTTCAGGGAACACAATAGCCGAGGTATGTATGTATCTATCTGGTGGTCGCTCTCAGAGGCACCGAATAACACCCTGCATATAATAGCTAGCTGTATGACTCTGGGATGTCTGAATGTATGCCCTTGTCTCTCCCACACAGATTAGACGATTGAGAATTGAAATAGAAAAACTGCAGTGGCTTCATCAACAGGAGCTTTCAGAAATGAAGCACAATCTAGGTAAGGACCTTTGCATTACTCAAGCTTCCACTGTAGATGACCAAGTCAAATCTGGGTCAAAGGACTGTCTGTCAGTATAGACGGGTTGGTTGTTTAGCAACAAAACCGACGCGTGCGCAACTATGGGGCAAAACAGATGGGGTTGGCTTAGATTGTTGACAACATATAAACAATATTCGTCTCCAATGTTTATTGAAATCATAAATACAATTGCACAATAAGGACTTGTCTCTCAAATACATTGTTACAGTTGTTGGTTAGCTAGCTAGTGAATTGTAGCCATATTAGCATTGACGTGATTGTTGACAACATGTAAACTATATTTATGAACAGTACTCCTGAGTGGCGCAGTGGTCTAAGGCACTGCTTTGCAGTGCTAACTGTGCCATAGGAGATTCCTGCGTCGAATCCAGGCTCTGTCCGTAGCCGGCCGCGGACCGGGAGGACTGATGGGCGGCGCACAATTGGCCCAGCTGTCGTCCGGGTAGGGAGGAATGCCGGCCGGGATGTAGCTCAGTTGATAGAGCATGGCGTTTGCAACACCATGGTTGTGGGTTCATTCCCACGGGGGGGCCAGTATAAAAAATTAATATAGTATTCACTACTGTAAGTCGCTATGGATAAGAGAGTCTGCTAAATGACGAAATGTAATGGTAAATGTATTTTCATCTTCATGTTATTATTGAAATCCTAAATGCATTTGCCACAATCAAGCACTTGTTGTTTCTCAAATACATCGTTACAGTTGTTGGTTAGCTGGCTCGCAAATGTTTTGCCATATTAGCGTTGACATGAAATCAGCCAACTGTAACAATGTATTTGAGAAACAAGACATGGTATCAATAACAAGATACAATGAGCTGAAACGAGGCCACCTGCGTTCACCACATGGAAGCTTCCTTGTGCTAGCATCGACCTGAAGAAGAGAAAAAAAATACCCCTTCCTAGATGCACGCACATTTCGGTGTCAGCCAACCCGTCTATAACAATGGATGTCATTGAGGAGAAACAGCAGGCAGTGGATGAGACCAAAAAGAAACAGTGGTGTGCCAACTGCAGGAAGGAGGCCATCTTCTACTGCTGCTGGAACACCAGCTACTGTGACTACCCCTGCCAGCAAGCCCACTGGCCAGAACACATGAAGTCCTGCACACAATCAGGTAACAAACACCAGCCATATTCAAAGCAGAATTTATACTAGTTAAAGAACATTGATTCCATCTGACTACAGGTATCAATTGTCTTACAATTGTATAGTTACATATTTCTGTTCTCCTTCTGTAGCGACAGCCTCACAGCAGGAGCCTGAGTCAGGGTCCACGGCAGACGGCCCAATCAAAGCCTCAGGACAGTCCAACAGTGGTCAAACTTCTCCCAAAGTAACGACAGCATCTGCCCCCACAGACAAAGACTCTAACATGGAGAAAAGCAAGGACAATGTCACTGTCAGTCTGTCCTAACACTGAGCCCCTGCCCTGACATTGAGTTATCACACTTGAACCTGTAACATAAAATACTGACTCCTTCTTAGCTACTGTACATGGACAGGTTTCACTAGAATTAGTATTTTCATCTGCTGCTCTGGAGGTATCTAATACTTTATTTTATTTTATATCTCAAGTCCAGATGTACTTTATGTCCAAAGTACTATGGGACAAGTAACCACTGGAGGGCGCCACCTGTTCTCTTAATCACCCTCACGTTACATTACACACATTTTGCAAGCTCATAGAGAAGCAGCTTTTCATGGCCAAATTTGAAGGTTGGGTGTGTGAGGCAGATGTACAGAAAGTGTATCTATTGTTATATGTAATATTAATAACAAATGTATTGGGAGTGCATAATAAGTTGTGGTACTGTGTGAAAGAGAATTGGACAGTTTGGTCAATGATCACCTAAATGACCAAACTTAATGTGAACGGACCAGAATGGAACATGTCTTCAGATCACTGTTGATGACAAATGATTTTCACCCCCCATTTTGTATGTTAATTTATTAATTATTTATACTGTAATGTTATTGAGGAGATAATGTTCAATGGACTGCCTGTTGAATGAAGATATGGTACAGAGAGAAGTTATATGAAGCTTTTCCTTTTCAGAATGTTTTTTTCTTGGGACTAATGTTCATCATAATGCAACCACCATTTGTCCTGTATTCATATTTCTGTGTTCATACTCTTTCATATTGTATTGTTGTCACTGAGAAATAAACCAAATGTATGGCAAACACAGGCCCTGAGAGGGAACAGAATACACCACTAGTTTTTGAAAGCTCTTGCATTTTCAATGTGTCTCCCACATGACGGGGAGGCAGTATGAAAAATGTATGCACTCACTAACTGTAAGTCGCTCTGGATAAGAGCGTCTGCTAAATGACGTAAATGTAATGATACAAAAACATAAATGTATCTGGTTGAAAATTATCGGCTACGGTGAACTGAACACGTCTTTGTGTGTCAGGTTTGAGCACTCTTTTATTCAACAATTTATTCACTCATCTGCAGGAAATCCCATTTGATTTTCACAAAATATTCTCCTATAGCATACTGTAATGGAATCATTCATCCCTGTCCCTGAATAGAGAAGAGACTAAAGGAACTCTGTTGTATTTCATGTTTGTTTACATTCTGTAAATAAATAAAGTATGTTGATTCTGAAACTGTGTCTGACCTTGATAAAATACCATTGTTCCCGATCCTATCAGAATAAAGACCTTGGGCTGAGAGCTATTCAACAAGTGATAAACTGGGCTCTAATGTACCACCATTTCGGTCCTTATGCCCCCAAATATGTTGCTGTGTGACCTGCAATTTTGATTTGGTATCACCAGTGTACCTAGAAAAATATTCACCCACATATGGCATATGGCAATGCCCTGGCTTCCCTGTGGTTTGTTTTGGAATCAGAATCTGCCTTTCCACTCCTGGCCTTCGTTAGCGCTGTGGTAACAACTGAGCAATATAGCCACATACCTCCCAGCTCTCCTCTATCTGATAGATAGTCCACGTCATTCTGGAGGTATAACGCGGTCCCGGTTCCAGGGACATCACCGGATAAGAAATCCAGGCTGTCAACGCAATGCCATATTTGGACATGTGTATGTGACGTCCGAATTCAGTTGCTCTACCACAGATAGAACAATGAGACAGATATTTTACCGGATGTATAAATGTGAAGCATTCGGTTGGCTTTTGCACTCACTACCAAATATGGTCCAGTGTCCGGCAGTGGGAGAAGATGGAGCGAGATGGATTTTGGCCGACATTCTGCTAATCTTCTCATCGATGAAACATTTGATCTCAATACAGCTTTGTTTCTAAAACTTGAATCTGTTACGAACAGAGTGGACACATTTTTGTAGACTTTACCCTTTGCCAAAGTTTCAAAAAAATTGCGTTGTTTAGAATGAGTGCAAGGGCGAATTGAGTTAGTACACACGCGCACTTCACATAGTAGGCGTTCCCTAACGGAAATATGCAAATACATGCTAGAACGCGCAAATAGGCTCTCGCTAGCTCGTGCCTGTCTCTGCCCACCTCCTTGCTTGTTCTGCCCTCTATGATTAATTTGGAAACCACATTCTGTGGTCTATCTTGGGTTAGTTATACAAATCTTCAGCTCTACTTTCATTGGTCTTAAGGATTTGTTTACTTTTTTTGCGCATAGTTTGCGACACAGCGGTCGGTGAAGACATCATGGATTTATAACCCATTACAGTAGGTGGCGGCAATACACTACTAGGGGTAGTCTGCCATAAAACTTTGAAGAGTATAGTAGGGCTGCCTATACTAGGGTTAGTAGGGATTTCCTGACAATGTAGGGCATTGGTCACCAACCCTGTTTCTGGAACTCCACGGGGTGTGCAGGCTTCTGTCCCAGCTAACACTATGAGGACTAATACACTGAAGGGTTTGAACGTGTTGGGCTTGAATCCACTGCTTACCCCAAAGCTCCACATGGTTGAATAGTGTCTAATGTCTTGTTGCAGGTAGGCAAGTTATATAAAAGCTGAATAAAAGCAGGTATGGTAAGTTGACTAGGTCTACTTATTATAGGCAGGGTTGGATGATGACCACTTAGTACCCGCAGGGCAGGTCATAAATTACCTTAAAAGTAAAGTAGACTTGCACGAGCCTTGGCTTGTGCGAGCCGGAACGGCTCATAGGAGCAGGAGCCTATTTCCGGTTCCTGTAGTGTGAGGCAGCTTGATGTACAAGTACACCCCCTGGACAGGGTGCTAGTCTATCGCAGGGCCTTGGCTTTAAGAGGAGGGCAATATCTGCACTTGCAACATCATCGTAACTTAAGACTATTTCCTCAGTGTGTGTTAGAATGAATAACTATTAAAACCTGAAATGCTTTTGTAAATATGTTGCAAGATGTATCTGATCAATTACGCATGTATCTAATAATATTTATCTCTCTAGTTCAGGAGCCAAGGAGAGAGGATGCGCATGGAGAGGAGGGCCGTGGAGAGGACGATGTATGTTAAGTACAATTTCAGTCTCCAGTTGAGGGGGGCTGATCTACAAATCTACAAAACTTTACGGGATGCTGTGGCTCGTGGCAAATTCATGGCTAAAATTACACAGTGACATATCTATTAGACATGACTAATGCTTTGTCCTTATTTTTCAGTTCAAATTAATTTAATTCATTCACATGGCAGAATACAATTGAACTCTGATATGCATGATCAAAATAAAATAAAAAGGAACATACACTATATATACAAAAGTATGTGGATTCCGCTATTTCAGCCACACCCGTTGCTGACAGGTGTATAAAATCGAGCACACCGCCATGCAATCTCCATAGACAAACATTGACCGTAGAATGGCCTTACTGAAGAGCTCAGTGACTTTCAATGTGGCACCATCATAGGATGCCACCTTTCCAACAAGTCAGTTTGTTAAATTCCTGCCCTGCTAGAGCTACCCCGGACAACTGTAAGTGCTGTTTTTGTGAAGTGGAAACGTATAGGGACAACAACGGCTCAGCCGCAAAGTGGTAGGCCACACAAGCTCACAGAACGGGACCGCTGAGTGCTGAATTGCATAGCGCGTAAAAATCATTTGTCCTCAGTTGCAACACTCACTACTGAGTTCCAAACTCTGGAGCAGTGGAAACGCTTTCTCTGGAGTGATGAATCATGCTTCACCATCTGGCAGTCCGACGGACGAATCTGGGTTTGGCGGATGCCAGGAGAACACTACTTGCCCGAATGCATAGTACCAACTGTAAAGTTTGGTGGAGGAGGAATAATGGTCTGGGGCTGTTTTTCATGGTTCGGGCTAGGCCCCTTAGTTCCAGTGAAGGGAAATCTTAAAGCTACAGCATACAATGACATTCCAGATGATTCTGTGCTTCCAACTTTGTGGCAACAGTTTGGGGAAGGCCCTTTCCTGTTTCAGCATGACAATGCCCCCGTGCACAAATCGAGGTCCATACAGTAATGGTTTGTCGAGATAAGTGTAGAAGAACTAGCTGGCCTGCACAGAGCCCTGACCTCAACCCCATCGAACGCCTTTGGGATGAATTGGAACGCTGACTGCAAGCCAGGCCTAATCGCCCAACATCAATGCCAGACCTCACTAATGCTCTTGTGGCTGAATGGAAGCAAGTCCCCTGCAGCATTGTTCCAACGTCTAGTGGAAAGCCTTCCCAGAAGAGTGGAGGCTGTTATAGCAGCAAAAGTTGGACCAACTCCATATTAATGGCCATGATTTTGGTATGAGATGTTTGATGAGCAGGTGTCCACATACTTTTGTATGTTCAAATAGAATATAGTCTATATCTGTGACTTTATATGTGTATTTGTGAGGAGAGGTATGGCCATTCACCTCTTTCATTTCTCTACAAAAGGGATTGAACCCACATGAAGGCATGCAGGTATTTTAATAACAATCAAGTCAACATAACATAGTAATGTTTTGCCCAAATAGCATACATTTAACCAAATAATTGCTGTAATAAATGTGATTTTCTTTCTATGTGAAATTACTTTCTTTTGTAGTTGTTCATACTGCAATGTTCTATCTGTTCATGTTATTTTGTTAATCCAGGCATTGTTCATGATAAACAGGGTATTTGAAGTCAAAATGTGACCCTTTTTGGTAATGTAGAAAGGAATAGAATTCACACATTTCTACAATTGTCCTAATTTAGGCATGATCATTGTTGGGGTGATAATGTTGGGCTTTATGGTGTAATAATGAAGAATATACTACAACATTTGCATGACATTTTGCCTTAAGTTCAGCTACCTCTCTTTGTTACCCCTGTTCTCATTCCACAACCTTTTCTGCAAAACGTTATGATTTTGCTTTCTACCCCAAACCATCTTGCCAGGTACAGAATGCCTACAATCTTTCGGTACTTGCAAGAGGAAGAGCGACCTGATAAGGGTGTTCTGCAACCAGAAAAGACTGTGCTTATCTGCTATGATTGCCTCATCCAAGCTCAACAATCTCTACATTGGGAGAGATCTTAGACCATTCCTCCATACAGAATCATTTCAGATCCTTGATATCCTTCATCTGCGCTTATGGACTGCCCTCTTCGATTCATACCACATGTTTTCAATGGGTTTCAAGTCCGGAGACTGAGATGGCCATTGCAAAATGTTGATTTTGTAGTCAATTAACCATTTCTTTGTGGATTTATGATGTGGGGTTATTTTCTTGCTGGAAGATCCACTTGCGGCCAAGTTTCAGCCTCCTGGCAGAGGCAACCAGATTTTTGGCTAAAATGTGTCCTAGTGCTGGATAAAGTTCATGATGCCGTTGAGCACATCTTTATCAAGGGTGCCAATCATTTTGGACCTGACTGTCCGCTGTCATGGTGGGGCAGCATGCATCACGTGTCTCCATGACCCTGTGGGATGAACCCTCAATGCTGCTAAGGCCCTATGCTCCACTAGGAGCTAAAAGGTAAGAAATATCTCACCACCAACCAATACATTACTTTACAAATCTCAAGCTTATTGAAATTACTTCTTGAATACTCAGTGTGTTTTTCCCCTTAACACACTCAGGTTGTACAACTGATATACAAAGCATTTGACACAACAGTTGTGTAAATATTTTGTGCCAAACAACTGTTGTGTTAAATGTGTTGTACAACCTGAGCATGTACAGTTGAAGTTGGAAGTTTATATAAACCTTAGCCAAATACATTTAAACTCAGTTTTTCACAATTCCTGACATCCTAGTCAAATTTCCTGTCTTAGGTCAGTTAGGATCACCACTTTATTTTAAGAATGTGAAATGTCAGAATAATAGTAGAGCGAAGTATTTCTTTCAGCTGTTATTTCTTTCATCACATTCCCAGTGG